TCTACTTCTTACATTTTGAACACAAATACCTGTACTTTCTACTTCTTACATGTTGAACACAAATACCTGTACTTTCTACTTCTTACATTTTCCAAACAGGCTGGTTCCTTTAGTTTGAATGTGTGTTTGGTGGCGTGATCATTATTATTTAGAGTCATTGCGTGCCTATTGATTTGAACACGATCCGTGTATCCATCATTTCCTGGTCTTCTCTAAAGAAGAGGGACCAATGAAAACGTTGTCATGTTGCCGTTGTTCAGCATGGAAACATTCATTAGCTAACAATGACATTATTGTTCTATTAATATAAAGGGAGGTCAGGTACTCTTTAAAACAGCTGCTAGTTATGGGTACTTTTTACTTAAGTACATTTCAAAGCCCTCTTTACTTTTACTTGAGTAAAGAAGTTTAGTCAGTACTTCTACTTTACCAGAGTATTTTTAAACACGAGTATCTGTACTTCTACTTGAGTAAAGGATGTGTGTACTTTTGCCATCTCTGGTCATTTGGATAATTGTTGTTGTTTGCACAGGGGATCGCTCTGATCAACGGGACTCAGCTGATCTCCTCTCTGGGAGCCGAGGCAGTGGAAAGATCTCTCGCTGCGGCCAGACAAGCCGATATCATCGCTGCTCTGAGTCTGGAGGCCCTTAAAGGCACCACCAGGGCCTTCCACAGCGGTACACTTTCATGCTCATGTGCTCGGGAACACACACAAACAAACACACACACTGTAGAGGTTCAATTGATCCTGATACACACACATGTTGTCCCGCAGCTCTGCACGCTGTCAGGCCTCACCCCGGACAGATGGAGGTCGCTGAGAGGCTTCGATCTCTCTTAGACTCTCAGGTCTTCCCTTCTCTCATCTCAGGTAGGACTCAAATCACTGATAACAGACGCACGCACGCACGCACGCACACACACACGTACACTGTTTCTCCTTCTAAATGATGTCCTTCCTTTAGAGAGTCATAGATCATGCAGTCGTGTTCAGGATCCCTACACCCTGCGCTGTATCCCTCAGGTATGTTAATACTCAAATACAAAACTGTGGACTTTTATCACATGGCAATACTTATGTTGATGTATAATGTTTTTATAATTGTTATGCTATGATGTTTGTATTTTGTTTTTGTCTTTGCTTTTGTTTGCTTTGTACTGCCCTTTGAGGCATTTCTTGTGATTTGGGGCTACAATACATTTTGATTTGAACTGATTAAGGTGAAGTTATATATAAATATAATGTAATAAAACAGAGGCAGATGACTTCTTTTGTGGCTGTTTATTGCAGGTTCATGGAGTGGTGAACGACACTATCACTTTTGTCCAGAAGGTGATTTCCACTGAGCTGAACAGCGCCACTGACAACCCAGTATCCTTCAGAGACGAGATTTATGCTGGCCTCAGTCAGAGGGTTTACAAAAGGATCTCTTACACCATCAGAGTCATTTAGAGGATGCCTTTAATCACATGACATCCCCACAATAGGGGCTTTAAATGTGATGCGTTTAATGTCTTCCTTTACTTTGACTTTACACATTTAGATGACATAGAAGTCAGAGATGTATAGGATGTGTTCTTGGTTTTTCACTTAAAGCTCCTTATTCCATTTCAATTACGATATGTCATGTCTTCCTCCAGCATGTGCTACAGATGTTATACCACAAGATGGCAGTGTTTACCGATCAAGAAAGAATGAAAGGTGCTTTGTGAACCCTTAACTTATCCACAGCTGGTTTTTGCAGAAACCAGGGAGATCATATCTGGAGGGAACTTCCATGGAGAGTATCCAGCCAAGGTGACGTCACACTGAACTTAGTAATATGATCCCTGCTTGATTTATTGTCCACACACACACACACACACACACACACACACACACACGCACACACACACACACACACACACACACACACACACACACACACACACACACACACACACACACACACACACACACACACACACACAAAAATGGTTTGGCCGATCTGGACAATTTCGGAGTGGTGTTGGAGGGTTATTTAAGGATGCTGAGTCCATTTCTGACAATTTCAGGATACAAAATGTCAGTTTTAACCAGAAAATGGCCATATGTGTACTCCCGGTGGACTGATTTTGACTAATTTTGGTCGGTTTTGAAGTTTTAGGGGACTCATTTTGATTTGACAGATTGTCTATTTATTTGAAAACAAAGGTACTTGTCGCCACTTTTTTAGTTTTTTTCAGACTCTCTAATTATCCCTAATCCGTCCCTAACCCTAGGATTTATGTTTGTTATTTTGAGAAAAGTTCATGTGGAGGAGTACCCACTATTAAAAAGTGGCGACAGATAACCCACAAGTACCAAAACAAATTGTTCGCAGGAGAGATAATCATTTTGGACACTTCATTTTATTGAATTGTAATGATTGTATTCTAACTGTATTTGTGTCATTGTGTTATGTACCCATTCAGTGGTATTTTCACATTTATCTTGTCATCTTACTATATTCTCAGATATGTTTGTTGTTTTTACATTGTCATTTGTGTTTGTTGATTTGTGTATCCATCTGAGACCAATGTGATTTGTGATATTGGGCTATATAAATACACTTGAATTGAATTGTCATCTTGTGCTCTCTATTTCAAGTGGTTGCAACACTCATGGTAGTCAAAATCAGCCCACTGAGAGGACAAATATGCCCACTGGCAACTAGACTATTTTTAGCTTGTGTGTTACCTTGCTGCTTTAGGCCCTGGACTACCTGGCGATCGGAGTGCACGAGCTGGCCTCTATGAGCGAGCGCAGGACAGAGCGTCTGGTGAACCCGGCGCTCAGCGACCTGCCGGCCTTCCTGGTTCAGGACGGAGGTCTGAACTCTGGATTCATGATCGCTCACTGCACCGCTGCTGCCTTAGGTGAGTCCGCTTGTTTTTCTACTAACTAGATATATCGCTCCTGTCAGGCAGAGACCTCATTCTGACTATAGGCGTTTGCAATTTTGTGGAAAACTGCACCAATGATTTCACATTTTAGAGTAAAAAGAAATGTCCAGACTTTTTTTATTGGGTTTTCAGACAAATAACAGACAACAGTATACACAGATATATCAAATTGGGCTTTAGGTAATACAAAAACAGGTCAGAAATACAAGATTAGAGAAGGAGAGTAAACAGAGCACCTGTCTGGTATTTTATAGTAAATTAGAAGCAATTCAAATTACTATTCCAAAGATGCACTTGTTTTTTAAACGAAATATGTGACCGGGTTCATTTGTCAGAGAAACGCACCGCTAAAAAACAGTTGAATATAAACACTATGGGTGTACAGGTAACAATTATACCTTTCCTTTAAGAAAACATTTGGCTGTGTTAATCTTCTTATCCATTACAGTTTTAATGTAGTTATTTATTTTTTATATTTTGATTGTTCGTTATTTAATCATTTACATTTTATTGTATATTTTCGAAGACATACATAACAAGAAAGACAGCGATACAATACTGCAATATTTTAGTTTTTATAATCATATTTAATAATAATGATAGTGTTTATTTTTCTTGATATTTCACTCTCATATTATATCTCTATCCCTCTATGTTTTTACCTATTTACATTTGCAATTTTCGGAAATGATTGAAACTGTAAAACTGAACTGTTGATCCCTGTGTGCCCTGAATATATCATCAAACAACACTGTAAAGACAAACAAAAACACATTTTAACAACTAAGCCTCACAGGAAAAGACAGATTAAGGATGAAAGTGCAGACATGTCCCTGCCTGATGCTCATTGTCTGCACCCCGTGGATGCTTCACATTTCACGTCAATCCATCAAGTAGTCACGACATTTCACTGAGAGACAAAAATGTCCTCTTCATGTTGGTGCTAGAGCAAAAGGTCAAGAGGTTACATTTTACAATCCATCCAATAAGTGTGTGTTATTTTTAGTCTGGACCTCAGTGGTGGTGGTCGTAATGAAAATACACAATCCATGCTGCTGGTTAGAGAGATGAGTAGTGAGGCAACAAAATACAATATTCATCATTTAGTCCTCAAAAGATCTTCCCAGGCTTTAAAAGTGTACCATTAATACAACACTTACTGGTCACACAAACATCATCTGGATCAAAGCCTTCTATAAAGCAATACACTGAAGTACTTTTACCAGTAGAAGTACAATACAATACAATACAATACATGGTATTCATGTAAACCAGCAGTCAGAGAGAATATGTTAAATGAAACTTTAATGGGATGATGAATGGTTTTTGTGTTAATGTAAGACCAGTCAAATTTGACCAGGAACACCAAAGTGAGGGACACGACAGGACAGATAATACCATCATTTCCTTCACACTTTCTCCACTGTTTGTGAACTCACTGTGTGTTTCCACAGTGTCAGAGAACAAGGTTCTGTGCCACCCGTCCTCCGTGGACTCCTTGTCCACCAGCGCAGCCACAGAGGACCACGTGTCCATGGGAGGCTGGGCGGCTCGCAAAGCCCTGAGGGTCGTGGAGCATGTGGAGCAAGGTGACGCACACGCACACACACACATGCACACACACGCGCACGCACACACACGCGCGCACACACACACACACACACACCACACACACACACACACACACACACACACACACACACACACACACACACACACAGAGACTCACATATAGATATGGAAGTGACTGTTATTTTGTATATATAGATTTTTGTGTTTCTATCTAAATGTGTGCATATATATACATGTGTCTGTTGATCCTAAACATTACATTACCTTACATTACATTACATTGCATTTAGCTGACGCTTTTATCCAAAGCGACTTACAATAAGTGCATTCGACCAAGATACAAACTTGAAGAAAACAGAATCATATAAGTACATCAGGTTTCATAGAGCCAAAAGATTTCAAGTGCTACTCAACTGGCTTTAGATAAGCCAGTCCTTTATTAGTATATAAGTGCTTTGTTAGTAATTGTATCGCTCGAAGTAGAGTCAAAAGAGATGAGTTTTCAGTCTGCGGCGGAAGATAGGCTTTCTGCTGTCCTGATGTCAATGGGGAGCTCATTCCACCATTTTGGAGCCAGGATAGCAAACCCACATGTTTTTGCTGATGGGAACTTGGGTCCCCCTCGCAGTGCGGGTGCAGCGAGCCGTTTGGCTGATGCAGAGCGGAGTGCACGTGCTGGGGTGTACGGTTTAACCATGTCCTGGATGTAGGAAGGGCCAGATCCATTCACAGCATGGTACGCAAGTACCAGTGTCTTGAAGTGGATTCTAGCAGTTACTGGAAGCCAGTGAAGTGAGCGGAGGAGCGGTGTGGTGTGGGAACATTTAGGAAGGTTGAAGACCAGACGAGCCGCTGCATTCTGGATGAGCTGCAGAGGTCGGATGGCACATGCAGGTAGACCAGCCAGGAGGGAGTTGCAGTACTCTAGGCGTGAGATGACGAGAGCCTGGACCAGAAGCTGCGTCGCTTTCTGGGTCAGGAGGGGACGTATCCTCCTGATGTTGTAAAGAGTGTATATATAGGATATACATATTTGTATACATATTTTTATACATATTTGTACTTTTATATTCAGGATTGTGGGAAACGGTATTTCGATCTCTCTGTCTGTACACACAAACTGAAAGATTGACAATAAAGTTGACTTTGAAACTCATTCTAAACACACTCTTGACTGAATAATAAAAACATGGAAACAAAGCAAACTCAGCGTAAGGTAAACGGGATTCAAACTGATGTTCTAGAAAGAGGCATTTAAACAATTCACTGGTAAGATTTGTGTTAATTATTCACAGATGGCACAACTTGTTCCCTCATGTTGAATCTCTGCTGTTTGTGAGTAAACAAACCTGTGTGTGTGTGTGTGTGTGTGTGTGTGTGTGTGTGTGTGTGTGTGTGTGTGTGTGTGTGTGTGTGTGTGTGTGTTTGCAGTGCTGGCCATCGAGCTGCTGGCCGCCTGCCAGGCTCTGGAGTTCCTCCGTCCTCTGAAGACCACCGCTCCTCTGGAGGGGGTCCACCAGCTGCTGCGCTCCGTGGTCAGGTAACACCTCCACCTGCACCAGTGGATTTATAAAGAGAACTGGGTACAGTTTCAGTGGCAGGGCCTTTTTCTTTCCTGTGAAAGTTGCTCAGTGAGGCATGAGGCCTAGGAAGGGCCTGAACTGTGGGGTTTTTCTTTGGAAGTTTTTCCTTGTACGATGTTAGGGTCTAAGGACAGAGCGTGTCGTATTGTCGTATTGATATTCTGTACAAACTGTGAAGTCCACTGAGATAAATGTTGTGATATTGGGCTATATAAATAAACATTGATTGATTGATTGATTGATTGATTGATTAGAGGTACACAAAAACCCCAGAATCATTGGGGGATTTAGGCACTTAAGTTGCCTACCTGAGTTTTCCTTCAGCCTTGCCTCCGGTCCTAACGTCTCATCTCAGCATACTTGCCAACCTTGAGACCTCAGAAATCGGGAGCATTTCAAAACCACCGCGGGGGGGGGGGGGGGGGGGGGGGGCTGCTAGTGGATCGCCGGAGCGGTTAGATTAACATTAACATGTTTATTGTAGTTGCGGTTACAGGAAAGGAGTGAGCAGAGGGTAGAGTTATCGATTCTTGTTCTGTTTTCCGTGACTATCTGCCTCACCCATGGATGTATAATAAGAACGCCTCACCCTCTCAGACTTTCAGTTGCGCGCGCTGCTAAAGAGACGCGCTACCATGGAAACCAAACAATGGTGTAGCTGTATTAAAGTCAGAGTGGAAACAGTCGTGAGTAAATCTGATTTTGTCAGAAATGCGGGAGAAATATGACCCCGGGAGGAAACCGGGAGAGGGCAATGAAATCGATAGTCTCCCACGAAAATCGGGAGGGTTGGTAAGTGTGCATCTCAGTTGAATTAATACTGAGGGAAATTAACCGGTTATTTGGTTTAAATGAGGCCTATAAGAAGGATTTTACTGGGACGTTTATTTAGCTTAAACAATCTAGTATTAGAAGTATTTTTGGGCCCAAATGACGTTATGGATTAAAACGTAACCGTCCCATTTACCCACTACGAAAATGTGCTTAAATGGCCGAGCTCTTTCTGGGGGTTTGGGTGACACTTGACCTTCTTCTGTAAATCCTAAGGCTGGAGCTCCTTGCTGAGATTTGGAGCTATTCGCCATTTTAGCTAATTATAACTGAGCTAGATATAAAGAAACATCAGAGCCCTCTGAATACTGTCATGATTTCCAGAGCAGTCTGAGTATTTTTCTTACAGGAAGTAGGAAACAGTCAAGTTTCCTCGTCAGAAAATCTGTATGAAGACATATCATTTTGTAAGACTGATACTATGTGAATGTCCTTACTTTTATTCGTCTCTCCAGTCCATGGGACAGAGACCGAGTCATGAGTCCTGACATCGAGGCGGCTCACACTCTCATCAGACAGCAGAAGGCAAGTCTGTCCCCAAACACACCCAACATTTCACTGAAGAACTGTAATGACTTCATGTTATAACCACTTTGTTTTCTGCCCTCAGCTCTGGAAGACAGTCCAGCCGTTCATGGAGGAGTACAGGAAGAAGCTGACCACATGAGGACAGAGAGGAAAGCTTTGTACAACTTGGGACTGTTTTAAGCAATAAAAAAAGTGGAGAAATTATCGACTTTTGAATTTTTATTCAAAGGATTGACATCACATTAATGCACATGGTAAATCGTGTTAACTTACAAAAGAGCTGCATGATCTGATGTGACAGTAACAACGTGCCCTCTCGAGAAGCTGTTCGAAAATAAACATCCAAGACAACAATTCAATTCCCAATATTCCCCCCCCCCTCCCTAGATGAAATGAATGCATACAAAGCAAACACATTAACACACAAATCATTTGACAACTAAATCATGTAATAATAACACTAGCCTTTAAAATAAAGCCTCACATTTCCCAGCTGGTTTGAATGCAATCCAACACATCTGGTACCTCACAACTAGGAACTACACTTTCTACTGAACAGGTAGTGATTTCTCTGTACATCCTCCCCCCTGTCCGCCTGATGACCTTTACCCTGTGGGAGGCGGGGTCAGAGGTCATCAGGAGCCGCTGCATTTGCGTCGAGGCCTCGTCATGAAAACTGGATCTGTTGTACGGTGGGAATCTGCAACGCGGGCACAAAGTTACGTTAGGAGTTATTTACAGACGTATTTATCGTACAGTTCAGGGAAGAAACTCTAAAAAGCAACAAATCCAACTGGTGTACAAAGATCCAGAATACTAATTTTTTTCACCACAGTCATAAATAAAACTTATATCTGACCGTAACCCTTTTAAATTGTAATCTCATGTTAAGTTATTAGATAAGATATACTGTATTAATCCCAATTTGGGAATGTTTTCATCACAGCAGTATGCAAACCTCTCAAAATAGAAAATAAAACTGAAACTGAAATATATACATAAAAAATTATTTGATTGATTAAAGTATTAATAGTAGTTCTAATTATTATGTATATAAGCCGCTAGGAGCTAATTCCATCTTCAATATATATTTTTGATGTCGTGAAAACATCTTCAAACAACTAGATTTGTTTAAACACATCGTGATAATTATTCATTTACTGAATAGAGCTTGAACGCGTCATAATGTAACCTTACTACCTCCCTTCCTGCTATCTTGTTGCTTTTCTCACCCCTGATCATCACACACATTAGCTGTCCTACATTGGTGTTTTATCCTATCTTTTACTTGCTGTGTTTTATGCCTTTTATTCTACATTTTATAGTTGTATTGTGTACTGTCTGTAAAGCACTTTGTACATGCGTGTTGAGAAGGGTGCTATATAAACAGGGGTGCACATAACTGGTACGCAGGTACGGCAAACATCGGAAATGCGAACCGTCACTTGTCTCACTAAGCGCATTTGCGTACCGGCGGACTTGTGAAGCATTTCCACTGGACGACAGAGCCGGTCGCCGTGCGCACAGACAGGGCTAATGTTAACGTCGGTGTGTACAACGGAATTGTGCCGCAACTTCCGGTGGGAGTTCCACACGCCTGCTCCACTAGCGCCCACCCCTCCCGTCGACGTTCAATACCCAAACCCCCACCGGTCGATGTTCGCGAAACAGAGGGGCTGAACACATAACCTTGCGTGGGCAGCCCTGAGTACCAAACATTGTCTCCTGGTACTCATTTGAGTAACTCACTAATGGCGCATTTCCACTACAGTGCGGAGCGCGGTTTAAACGTGCCGTGCCGTGCCCGGCCTGTTTTTGGTTGCGTTTCCACTTGGCGTAGTTCCGGCTAGCGGGTACTTTTTCAGTTTTCTGGCTCTCCAAAATCGAGGTTCTTTTCGGGCCAACAACCGGGCTGAGTATGCTAAACTAGTGAGAGAATCGCTGGCAACTACAACAAAATGAACATATTTTACGGTGATTTAATTGTAATACACGTTTCAAAATGATGCCGAAGTAACAACATACTGATGCCGGTTAGTAAAAACCATGAATTAATGCTTTGACAAGTCTGCAGACAGACGGCAGGCGAAAAACCTTTTAAAATGCGTGTTTTCTAAATGGAGATCGGCTAAGCTAACGCAGTATATGCTCCGACCGTCCACACTCACAACAGCGGCCTACAGACATAAATAAAGCAGCGACTGTATTCACCATGACACAGACAGTCTGTGGTTTGTACTTGTTTAACTTCTGTCTAGTTTCTGAACAGATATGAGGAGCTGTGAGCTCTGAGTGCTAACAGCTAACGGCTGATGTTGGTTTTGTGTTTCGCATCGAAGATGACGTCGCGGCTCCGCCTACACTGCGTTACTATAGTTACTACCCCAGTTCCTAAACTGTAATGGAAACGCAGCATAAAGTGAGCCTGGCCTACCAAGGCCTAACTATACCGTACTAAGCCGTGTAGGGCCTGCAGTGGAAATGCGCCATAAGAAAGTTATGTGCACCCCTGTATATAAATAAATGTGTACTTACTTACAGCATTAACTTCCCAAATGCATCTTTTTACTGAATAAAAGGGGAATTCCTCAACGTAAGTTTGTACCTGTTGATATGAAGTGGTGTACACCATGACGTTCTGCTGCTGACCGTCTGCTGTGATAATCCCCGCTGGCATGGGATTTGCTGATGAGGGCAGAAATGTGCGTTTTATTGAGACTGATCTTCAACGGCATAACACAAAATGACTAAGTCAAAGAAATACATTGAAGCGTTATACTCACAGAAGCTTTCGTCCGTGAGATCGTCTCCCAGGTTGTCTCCCACAGAAACTCCAGGAATCCCCTTCTCCCCCTTCATGGCCTGAAAGAGAAGCACATGTGAGCACATCTGGAACTAAACAGCAACGTGGCGTCAACATGTTTATCATAAGTCGCTTTGCATTAAAGCATCGGATAAACATAATGTAATGCAACTATTTTTATAGTTACTATTATTACTACTATCTTTTGAAACATTCAGGAGGAGACAACATACAAACAACAAGCATTCATACTTCAATATGCAGATCAAGTTAAAGTCTACTATGATGAGGGCTTTTGCTATAGATGCATACCCATTAGCTATGCTGTAACCCATATTATACATCGTACAAAAAAAGGACAATTTGAGGTTTAATAGTTGAAAATAAAAGGCTTCTGCTCCAAATTTAAACATCTGAATAAAACAGCATGAAATGATTGTAATATTGTAATTAGTGGTCATGCCAATAAAGCCCCTTTGTATTGCATTGTGTGTCTCACCTCTCTGAACTTCTGCAGGTAGAGCTTCAGCGGCTCCACGTACATGTCGAAGCCCAGCGTGGACATGGCGAACAGGATGTCCTCTCCGTTGATGGTCTTCCTCTTCTCCTGGTGGCAGCGCTCGCTCGCCTCCGACGTGATGAAGCTGATGAACTCGCTCACACACTCCTGCACACACTCCTTGGCGTCTTTTGCAATCTGTGGAAAACAGGAAACAGATATTTACCAAAGACACAGCAGGAGAACTCTCTGCTCCATTAGCTTCTCTTGGACTTAAAATCACACTGTACATTTGACATATTCACTTTAATATTTCATCCCTCACATACTTATGTATATATAATGACTTGCTTCATATGTTGTTATTGTTGAACTTCATCTAACAGCTTGAACATTTTGATTATTCCCTCTTTACTAACCTTTCCGGTCTGAGGGACGGCGTTCTTCATGATGCGAGCCACGTTGGCGATGGGGAGGTAGATGTCCTGCTCCCTGAAGTTCTCTTTAATGCCACTGTCGTCATGGTCGTTCATATTCTCCTCTCCATCGTCTATACACATGAAACAAACACAGAGTTAGAATCAGCTGTTTGGGACCGGAGCTGAAACACAACACTGATGGTAGCGTTCTGATGACATACACTCACCCTCCTGGGACTGGAGGACGTAGTGCCCGGAGGCCATGTACTCTCCAGTGATGCCCAGCTGGGAGGCGTCGGTGGTTGAGTTGTCCCCGTCCATCTGCAACACAAACACACACCTTATCATCTGGAGTTATAGCAATATAGGTGCAAAGTCTAAAGCAAGCATCTCACATTCACTTCATGGAATGACACAAACGAGCAGATGATTTCAATGCATATCAAATGGAAATAGGGTTTTCAAACTAAAAGAAAAGTGCGAATCCTCAACTGTTTGCTGTAATTTGTTCCTAAGTTTTATCTATTTGTCATTTATGCAGTAAACGATAGACAAAAGGGGGTTTCCAGAATGAACACAAAGTCATACACTTGATAGTCTATTACTTGTTATTAATGACGTAACATGTAAAGTGTCACTTCAAATCTTATTTTGAGTTTAATTAAAAGATCATGTTAGAAGATTCAAAGGCTTTATTGATTTGATTTTGTTGTTCTTTTTCTTGTAGTTCTTTACTTGCTTGTGAAGCGCTTTGAGCCCCAGGAAAAGCGCTATATAACTGTAATGTATTATTATTATTAATGTCATATACATAGCTACAGTGTAGAAGTAGACAAACTTGGGTCACAGGTTCCTCAAACAAAGCAATATAAATATATACAAGACATAAAACAAATGTAAAAGAAACCCCAATGAAAATTGTGAATAGAAATGAACCAGGTGTGTGTTGTGCTTTGTCTCAATGCATTAGCTCACTGACTTGGACCAAAATCAGGTCTGGTATTGTTCCAGATGTTGAAAAAAAAGGTTACATTTATATTTTAGAGACAGAAACTATGTGTGGCCTCGTTGGGATGATATTTACAAAGGTTTATAAGGAATACTGCCAAAACACCCCCCTCCCCCTTCACAATACACGCAGTTTAATATCATGAAATGTGTGTTTTCTGGCCTGGGGGAATACATTCTCCTGAGACCCATTGACTTGTCTGTAGTGGACATTTTGTTCACATTCATCTCCTTTTTCTCTTCAGATCAATTACTTATTATTATTAAAATAAAGCTGAATGTATCCTTGTATTATTATCCCTCTATAAGCATAATATGTCTTGGCTGAATTTTCACACTAAACTCGGTTCCCAGATGGATATATTTCGTAGGAAACTGGCATTTTGAAGCACAGTTAGCATTTTAACTGAATTGTAAAACCTGCTAGTTAAGCGCGGCAAGGCCAGTTAGCTTTAATTTAGCAACATGCTACATACATGGATCTGTGTTTAGCTTTCGAATGCTAACTAGCATGATGCTAACAGTGACAACCAACGAATGGAGCCAGATAGTTAGCCCATTTGCTGGTATTAATATATCAAAATAATGAGCCCAGCATAATAAAGAAAGGCTGTTACCTTCTGAAGTTAACATATTCAGATACATAGTGTCCCTTGAACACATTTTCCTTGTGAATCTAACGCCTGCAGAAACGGACGGCCTGTTTTTCTTTGTTTCTTTTGGAGCAAGAAGACGTGGCCTCGGCCGAAATGTTAAATTGTTTTTAAAGTTGAAACTTCCTCCTGATGAGCAGCCCTCATTCACTCAGACAACAAATAAAAAAAATCAGACAGAGACGGACATTTCCATTCGAAGCTAACGAGAAATCGGTTAGCAATCATTGGCCGGAGAGAGACACAAACCTGCAATGAAGCCCTGGTTGGTTACCTTCCTCAGACGGCTGTTTGGTTGGACAGAAAATGGCTGCGAAAGGACCAGTCCCAGCGCGTAGCCGTGGTTGTAGTTCCGCTTCTAACCACTAGAGGGCCGTGCTGCATTCACGGACTCGTCTCAAGCTCCGATTTTACAAGTCACTGTTTAAATCCAGCTGTGGGAACTATAGACATAGAACATCTTTGGTTGTAGTAACTGTAATATTTTCACACAGTTAATTCACTTAACACGTAGTAGCTGATTTCCGACGTCTGTGGAGAAACTACACACGGAATTGTACACTTTCAGAGCGTTTCAGAGCAACATGTTTTGGTCGTGATCGCGCTCTGTTTACACAAAACCTATATTGGTGGCTTCACATGAACGCATCTCGTTTAACCTCCAAGGTTTTTCGAAAATGTTTCACCCTCCCTCTGCTTTTCTATCAAGAAAGTTGCTCAGTTTTTACCTGCAAATGTTTCTGTGGAAGCGTTAGGTGTTTAAAGTGGTGCACTGAAGGACAACATACTCACTGAAAGTCTGTTTAGGACTATTAAGAGCCCATTAAGTTCAGAAAAGTGCAACAATTTCACCCCAAACATAAGGTAGGCTGTGTGTACCTGAGCTGCTTTTCCTGCCAACAGAAAACAGTTTAATTAACAAATGTCTTTGCATCAAATGGTTTCAGATAGTTTGATGTGTTTATTTGCTGTGCTGTTTCTTCCCGAAGCCTGTGGGAATCTTGGTAAAAACAGCTGTTCACAGAAATCAACCTGCCATTCAATAGTTTCACCACTAGATGTCGCTGAATCACCGTGAAAACACAAGGCTCGTTTAAATACAGTTTTATTTTTACACTATTGTTTTTCATGTCTTAATTGAACAAGAACCATGCATAAAAATACTTTAATCTCAACGAAAGAAGATATAATGTATGCAAGATTTTAGCTAATGGCTAATTTCCATCTGCAGTCCCTGGGCAGGCAGCAATAAAGACAGTAATACAAACATTAAATAGTCTCTGTATCACAAAACAATATTAAAACAGATCAATATACTGCACATTTGTCAGTAACACTATTATGTTACAATGAATATTTAACAAAAAACCTAAAATGACATTCAAATGAATGCTGGCAAGACTGGTTGCTCAATATCATAATTTTTTTCAATGTCAGACTTTAATAAAAAACGTCCCTAAATAGATATAATGCCAGCAATTCAGTGTCCTTTTAACTAACTAAACAGTGTCGTTTTTGCTAAATGTCAATCTGCATGTTATGATTGAGTACTATATGTGTATACATGTCTGACAGCTATTTTAATTCACACTATAATACAGTGCTTATGTTAACATTTGTATTCTCAAAGTGTAAATGCTGTTATTTTTCCATTGTGGCATAAAACGCAAAAACAAAACTGCATTTAATTTAATTTTTTGGCATACATTTTTTACATTTCTTAATCAACATTGAAAAATTGCCTGTCAAAGGACATCATCCAGTTTAATCCAGTCATATATCCTGGACCCAGGAAGAGCCCAGGGGCCAAAGTCCCTCCTCACAGCGCCGGTGTGAAAGGGGCATGTGTTTTTGTATCTGTGCCTCCAGAGCTAACAGCAGAGGGGGGGTGGTCACTGTCGGGTCTTACAGCTGTGAAACATGGACCCTCCAACGGGGCCGACAACGGGCCCTTATGACTACGACATGCTGGTTATTGGAGGGGGGGCAGGGGGTCTGGCTGTGGCAAAGGTAAGCTTAACTTTACACAGAATATTTCCAGACCACAGTGTTTCTTATTCAAGCTTATTGTATTTCTTGCCCTCTCTAAGCCTTGTCATAACGAAAAAGCCATTACACAAATGTATACACTACATATAACCAGTATTAGACATTAGCTGACCTTTTTAATCACTGTTTTAGTGCAATCAATCAGATGTTTTTGCACAAAGCAACATTTATTATTATATGCAATACACAACGACAGCAATCTGCAGAAGTAAACTTGTATAAAAGCATTGACTACAGCCCAAGCTAACTCTGTATGTGTAGTTATAATGTATAAAGTAATGAAATGTCTAACTTCTTGGATAAAAATCCAATAAAAAAAGGTGTGCCCTTTTTGTTTAGTGCAGGAATACAATGCAGCATTGATTTGCTTGTGTCATTGTGTCATGTGATATTGAAGCTACAGCTAAAAGAAGTGAGACTTTCAAATAAATACATATCCAATATTCATACAAAATAGAAAAAGCACCGTCTATTCCCCCCTAATTTCACATTAGTAGCTTTAAAGAGCCCATTGTTTATCTGTCTGAACCACAACTCCCCTCTCACTCCTCTCATCATGTCTTTTTTCCGGCAGCAGAAACACATTTTCTACAGTTTAAGTTCCTCTGCATGAATCTGTCTGCAACTCCACTTCAGTCCCAGCACTTTGAGAACAACTCAGCCTCATAATTACTGCTCATCTGGTCAAACGGACACGCACCCACGCACGCACGCACGCACGCACGCACGCACGCACGCACGCACTCACACACACACACACACACACACACACACACACACACACACACACACACACACACACACACACACACACACAGCTCAGATAATTATCATATTCATGGGAGTTATGGTAATGAAAGGATCTGTAAGCAGCACTAGAGGAAAGTGGGAATGAGATGAGGAGCCGGGACAAAGGGTTAACCCGTTTTCAATATTTAATTGTTCTCCTTTGCTGCCTGAGTGCCTCGCTCTCATTTATCCTGTTTTCTCTCCTCTCTCGTTCCTCCAGGAGGCCGCAGGGTTGAGGAAAAAGGTTTTGATCCTCGACCTCCTGACTCCTTCTGTAAGAGGCTCAGAGAGAGGTGGGGGTTTCATTCTCTCTGTCTGAAGAGGCCTGGTGATTAGGAATAATTGCCACTTTTCTCTTCTGTTTTTGCGGCAGATGTTTTAACTTTTTAAAACTGTGTTTCTACTGAGTTGTACTGTTTCTCTGAACCGTATCTTTTGTTTACTTCTGTACGCAAGCATTTCCCAAATAGAGATCAATAAAGTATCTACCTACCTACCTACCTACCTACCTACCTACCTACCTACCTACCTACCTACCTACCTACCTACCTACCTACCTACCTACCTACCTAACCTACCTACCTACCTACCTACCTACCTACCTACCTACCTACCTACCTACCTACCTACCTACCTACCTACCTACCTACCTACCTACCTACCTACCTACCTACCTACCTACCTACCTACCTACCTACCTACCTACCTACCTACCTACCTACCTACCCTACCTACCTACCTACCTACCTACTTCCTTATCCGATGTGATGGTCTAAGGACAGAGGGTGTTGTATTCATATTCTGTATAAACTGTAAAGCCCCCTGAGACAAATGTAAAAAGTCTGATATTGGGCTAAACTTTTATTGATTGATGTCCTTTTTTTAATCCTCTTTGGTTTCCTTTGTTTCCTTTCCTTTTCCTCTCCTATCTTCCAGAGCTGGGAGGTTCCAGCGTGAACATCGACAGCATCCGGAAGTTTCTACAACAGGCGTCTCTGCTGGGGAAAGCTCTCCAAGACTCTCAGAAATATGGCTGGAAGTTGAAAGAAAATGGTAATTAAAAGAAAATATTGTCTATATATTATGATATAATATAGTTAATCGTGCCACACATGATAAACTATTGATGATTGATATGGCACTGGCCTTTTAATCATCCCTGAAGTAAAATCAATGAGTCACGGTGAGGTGTGTTTTAATTTTTATGGCCCACGATTGACCCGAGGGCGGCAGACTGTTCTCACTTTTGAAGAGCCAACTTTTTAATTTGGTTTTTAGTTGAATTGTATTTATTATTATTATTTGTGTATTCTTATATATTTTATTATTCTTATATTTTATTTATTTATTCACATTTTAATATCTTATTTATTTATTTTATTTTATTTATTATTATTTATTATTACATATTTTTATTAATTCATTTATTTCTGTTGGTTTTGAGCGATTTTATCAATTACAAAGTTATGTGTTACGTAAGGGATAATCCCACTTGGATTTAATGAAAGGTAACATCAACGTTTTGAAAACCTCTTGTTAACATTTCAGGACGTATATGTACATTTATCAGCTTGTCCTCAGTTTTCTCTCTTTGCTTCCTGTCAGCACCTCATGTCTGGAGTGATCTGGCGGCGGCCGTGCAGCAGACGGTGGAGACTCGAAGTCAGGAGGTGAAGAGGGAGCTGAAGAACTGTGGAGTCTTTTACATCAGAGCTCATGGAAAGATAGTGGAGTCGCACACTGTGGAGGTAAACTCTCCTGTAGTGTGTTGTATAGGTTTGTGTGCATGTAAATGGAGTTCCCCCCTCCTTGTATTGTCTCCATTCGACTCCTTTGTTTACTTCTGGAACATAGTGACATCACTATGTAACACTCACTCTTCTATTGGCTAGCGCTCCAACACATTGTACGTGATAGGTTAAGGGGCGGGACATCTCTAAGCGGTTGACCAATCACAACAGAGCCAGCCAGCTAACCAATCAGAGCAGACTGGGCTCTGGTTTCAGACAGAGGGTGAAAAGAGGTGCTGCAGCACAGACAGTATGAGAAAAATAAAGAGCTTTTTGAACATTAAAGCATGGAGACATGTCCCAGTAGAGACACTACATACTGATATACACCTGAACATCAGCAGGAGAAGACTCTTTAAAGTAGAGACACACTGATATACACCTGAACATCAGCAGGAGAGGACTCTTTAAAGTAGAGACACTACATACTGATATACACCTGAACATCAGCAGGAGAGGACTCTTTAAAGTAGAGACACACTGATATACACCTGAACATCAGCAGGAGAGGACTCTTTAAAGTAGAGACACTACATACTGATATACACCTGAAAATCAGCAGGAGAGGACTCTTTAAAGTAGATACACTACATACTGATATACACCTGAACATCAGCAGGAGAGGACTCTTTAAAGTAGAGACACTACATACTGATATACACCTGAACATCAGCAGGAGAGGACTCTTTAAAGTAGAGACACTACATACTGATATACACCTGAACATCAGCAGGAGAGGACTCTTTAAAGTAGAGACACTACATACTGATATACACCTGGACATCAGCAGGAGAGCACTCTTTAAAGTAGAGACACTACATACTGATATACACCTGAACATCAGCAGGAGAGGACTCTTTAAAGTAGAGACCACTAACATACTGATATACACCTGAACATCAGCAGGAGAGGACTCTTTAAAGTAGAGGACACTACATACTGATATACACCTGAACATCAGCAGGAGAGGACTCTTTAAAGTAGAGACACTACTACACACTGATATACACCTGAACATCAGCAGGAGAGGACTCTTTAAAGTAGAGACACTACACACTGATATACACCTGAACATCAGCAGGAGAGGACTCTTTAAAGTAGAGACACTACATACTGATATACACCTGAACATCAGCAGGAGAGGACTCTTTAAAGTAGAGACACTACATACTGATATACACCTGAACATCAGCAGGAGAGGACTCCTTTAAAAGTAGAGACACTACATACTGATATGAACCTGAAAGCTGAGCAGAATAGGTCCTCTTTAAAGAAGGACAACCAAGTTTATAAGGGTTCTGATATTAGTTTTTTTATTACATTTTAGTTTTTGATGTATTTTTTCTGCATTGCATACTAGTTTTATTTTATTTTGGGCCTGGTTCAATCCCTCATTTAGTGCTGATGTTTGCATCTTTTCACGTAATCAAATTGAGTCCCTTTCCCTACCACACTTGTTTACATTTCATATTTGTTGTCTTATTGGTTGAGTTCAACTTCGCTAGCTAAAATGTTATTAGAAAAACCACCTATAGGAAGAATCTACAATATTTGCAGCATCGCTGAGATATGCTTTTTTCTTGTTTGTGTTGAATCAGGTGACAGAAGTGAACGGGAGGAAGAGGCTTCTGAAAGCAGAGATCATCGTCATCGCTACAGGAGACAGACCTCAGTATCTGGACATACCTGGGGCCAGAGAGCACTGCGTGACCAGGTCAACCAGCACGCAAACATTACGAGTACTTTTACTCCACTACATTTATTTATTGTGAAATATAATCAAGTGTTAAATCAGACTTTAGTTCCACCTGGAGTAAATTCACAAGCTACCCTGCAGTATACAAAGTCATTCAAACTAGCTGCACCTTTACCAGCTTTGAGAACACTTTCATGATCAATCATTATAAAACATATCATATATATTATTCCTGAAATGGACCAATCTGCACAATGACTACTTTTACTGTCGCTACTTTAACTATATTTTGATGATAATACTTTTCTACTTTTACTTGAGGAACATTTTGAATGCAGGACTTTTACTGTAACAGAGTATTCCTACACTCTGGTACTTCTACTTTTACTCAAGTACAAGATCTGAGTACTTCTACTTTTACTCAAGTACAAGATCTGAGTTCTTCTACTTTTACTCAAGTACAAGATCTGAGTACTTCTACTTTTACTCAAGTACAAGATCTGAGTACTTCTACTTTTACTACAAGATCTGAGTACTTCTACTTTTACTACAAGATCTGAGTACTTCTACTTTTACTCAAGTACAAGATCTGAGTACTTCTATTTTTACTACAATATCTGAGTACTTCTACTTTTACTCAAGTACAAGATCTGAGTTCTTCTACTTTACTCAAGTACAAGATCTGAAGTTCGTTACTACTTTTACTGCAAGTACAAGATCTGAGTACTTCTATTTTTACTACAAATCATCTGAGTACTTCTACTTTACTCAAGTATGATTCTGAGACTCTTCTACTTTTAGCTACAAGATCTGATACTTCTACTTTACTACAAGATCTGAGTACTTCTACTTTTACTCAAGGACAAGATCTGAGAACTTCTACTTTTTACTCAAGTACAGATCCTGAGTACTACTTTTACTGCAAGTACAAGATTCTGAGTACTTCTACTTTTACTCAAGTACAAGAGATCTGAGTACTTCTACTTTACTACAAGATCTGCCGAGTACTTCTACTTTTACTAAAGATCTGATACGTACTGTACTCAAGTAAAGACTGCGTACTTCTATTACTCAGTACAAGATCTGAGTACTTCTAACTTTACTCAAGTACAAAGATCGGAGTACTTCTACTTTTACTCACGTACCAAGATCTGAGTTCTTTCTACTTTACTACCTCCAGTACAAGATCTGAGACTTCATTTTTACTACAATATCTGAGTACTTCTACTTTTACTCAAGTACAAGATCTGAGTACTTCTACTTTTCTCAAGTACAACATCTGAGTACTTCTACTTTTACTCAAGTACAAGATCTGAGTTCTTCTACTTTTACTACAAGATCTGAGTACTTCTACTTTTACTCAAGTACACGATCTGAGTACTTCTCCCACCTATACCACCTTATAAATAGAGTCTTCCTCCCCCTCTCCCCCCACAGTGAGGACCTCCTCTCCCTGCCTCACCCTCCAGGTCGGACCCTGGTTGTGGGCGGGTCTTCTGAGGGTTTGGAGTTCGCTGACTTCCTGTTTGGCCTCGGCCTGCCGGTCACCGTCCTCCTGCAGCCGGACCTGCTGCCGGGGTTTGATCAGAAGATGGCAGAGAAGATAGAAAACCACATGATCGTCAGTGGAGTGGAAACGCTTCACAAGTGTACACTCGCCAAGGTAATGAGAAAGAAAAAGACGGGAAGGATTCAAACTTGAAATGAGCTTTCTTTAAATGTTGTTTTGCTTCTCTGTGTCAGGTGGAGAAGACTGAAGCTAAGGAGGACGTTTCAGGTATGGCAACTGATAACATTTCTTATTAGATTACATTTAGATTAGGTTCAAGTTTATTGTCATTGCACAGTACAACGAATGCAGTTTGCATCCAACCAGAAAGTAAGGAAGAGGAGAAGAGTAGTAAAGTGCATGAGGTTTCAATAAACACACATATCAGATCAATATAGATACATGTATAAATATGAATACATGTCTTTTGATAAGGTGCAGATTTAGAGCACATACATATAAGGTGCAGGGTTTAGGCATTCAGTATAGAAGTTAAATATATCTGGAGAATGTTACATCGAATAATACATTTGAAGAAATGGCTGTGATACAAATAGTTTAGAGGCGAAATGCGCTGATGTGATGGTAGTATTTTGTGTTTATAAACCTCATACAGTAAATCTTACAATCCCTTCATGCCATAAAGCTCCATTGTTGTCAAAAAACTGTTGAAAAACATAAATTAGCCTCGCAGTTGCAATGGATGACGCACGCACGCACGCACGCACACACACACACATACACACATACACACACATACACACACGCGCCCACATACACCATACTGCTTCTATAAATATTTACTAGAGCACCAAATGAAGATTAATCCACTGCTGAACAAAGACGGCACCAAATGCACTATTTCCTCCGCTTTGAGGATCATTTATCACAAACTGCAGTGACCCCCTGTTTAAGGGTTTGGTAAGCCATTTTTAAATAAGTGAAACTTTATCTGTGAACAGTTTTCAAAGCCACAGGCAGGATAGGGAAGTCATGAGATAGATTTGTGCATTAGAGGGAATAGAAATGTAACTTTGGGGTCTGAAACTGGCAGCATTTTACAAGTTAATTAACAAGTTATAACCAGATGAGGTACGTTACATATTCTATTCTATTAGGTGGTTCTTCAACATCAACACAGTCTTCTAAGGGACGACTTCGAGTGACCATCATCACATCAGAAGGCCAAACTGAACAGAGAGACTTTGACACGGTACGCTTCTACATTCTTGTATTTCCACATGTATATGTTTGACTTTTTTTTAATTTCTATTTGAGATGTTTACATTTTGGATTGTTTATGTCTAGTCTTTTAATTTCTCTTATGTACAATGCCTTGTCTTTTTATGCTGCTGCAACGCAAACATTTCCCAAATTGGGATCAATTAAGTACTTCTTATCTTATCTTATCTTATCCAATTAGTTTCAATCGTCATTTCTTCAGGACAACATCCCGGTGTCTCAACGTGTCTCTGTGTCTTCAGGTGCTGCTCAGCGTTGGAAGAAAAGCCTCCACTAGTGACATTGGTCTGGAGTGTGTTGGAGTGCAGTGCAGCCCAGAGTGTGTTAAACCTCTCCTCTCTCACTCTCACTTTGACCCAGATGTTTGCACAGCATGTCCTTCTTTATTTGTATTTACTTGCACTATTTTATCTGTTTTATTTGTTCTATGTCCTATATATATATTGCACTGTTGGAGGAGCCTGTGACCAACGTTTTTCATTGACATATCTACACTGTAGCTAATGTGCAAATGACAATAAAGCCTTGAATTGAAATTGAATGAAGTTCCTGTGTGTTTCATCTGTGCAGCAGTGGCAGGATCCTGGTGAACGAGAGGGATCAGACCGATGTGGATCATATTTACGCCGTCGGATCAGTGCAGCATGGACGCCCCTCCACCACCGGCCTCGCAGTGCATGCTGGGACGCTGCTGGCCCGTCGGCTCTTCAGAGAAGACACCACCTTGGTACTTGTTTGCATCATTTTAACACTAAAACTATTGATCCTATGACCAAGTGTGTGTTGTGTTTTGTTGGATTCTTTGAATGCATTTAGAGTTTTTTCTGTGTATTTTTGAAATGGTGGTTGTGATCCAGAAGCTGCATACGAGACAACAAAATGTTTGACATTATTTGAGCTAATATAACGTATCATTCACAGTGTGATTACACCAATGTTCCCATTGTTGTGCTGACTCAAATGGAGTATGCTGCCTGTGGTCTGACTGAGGAGAAAGCCAATACAACATTTGGAGAAGCCAGTGTCGAGGTACACACACACACACTCACACACTCTCACACACACACACACAGAAATCTAGTATAGACGGTGAGAAGAGAGTGTTTTACAATCCTAGCCTCCACAGTGGATTCAGGTGATTTAGGATGCACCACTGGGGATGTTTCAGGCTGTGTTATCCATCTCTGCTCACACACTCACACACTCACACACACACACACACACACACACACACACACACACACACACACACACACACACACACACACACACTCTAAATTCGAAATGTCCTTCCTCCTGCAGGTGTATCACAGCTACTACTGGCCGCTGGAGTGGGAACTTCCTGCCAGGAATAAATACTCCTGCTACGTGAAAGTCATCTGCCACATCCCTGACCTGGTAGGATTTTATTTTTTAAAAGCTGCTCTAATCAATATTCTAATATTAACAATTGCTCCAAAAACTTTGCATTATGTAAAGAGTGATACAAACCCAACAGTTCACTTTGGCTTTTAAGGTGTCTTCAGCTCTTTGTTTTTGGTTTCAGTCCCCAAAATAATATCACATTATGTCATTAGGGTATTTTTGCCATAACCGTATTCCTGACATTAGAAAAAAAAATACTGGAAAATTATTATATTATTGATTTCAAGAGCATGCAATTTTAACAACACTACAATATAGTATAATGTAACACTTTGTCTTCAAATACTCAGTAAAAACTAAACAAGTATTGCATTTCAGAATAAGCTTCAAATTCTGTTTCAAATACAAAAACAACAAAACATAATCAACCACAAATCTTAAGTGCACGTTTAAAGTGGACCTATTATGCTATATTGGAAAAATATATTGTAGGGCCATACCTATACAAAACATGTCTGTGAAGTTTTATTTTCAAAATACCAAACAGATCACCCATTGTAGCCATGCCTCATACTGCTCAAACCCCTCTTTTGAAGCCCTGTTAGAGAAACGCGGATTTTGGGTCCTTAGCTTGAAAAAAAGAAAAGAAGGAGGCGGAGCTAATGCCTGATCAGAATTCTACCGGAGATAAAGTTAAATTCTGCTGTGATAAAACGCCATCCTGTTCTAAACCACGTCAAGGATTATTTCTGAAACAGTATGGAGCTCAAATGCTTTTTCTCTTGCAGGTTTATCACAAGGTGAGTTTTTATTTCCTGCTTTTTAAACACATGTGCTCTCCAGTACAGGTTAGCTCTGAGTGTTAGCGAGGCTCTGCTAATGTAAACAAAGACGAGATTACGTCCAAAACACGTCAGGCATTGTTTCTGATAGCAATTTTCTGTGGGTCCACCGCCGATTTGACGTCATATCGGCAGCAAATCTGTATCCGCTCGTTGTACCTGTGGGGGAAACTTCTGTGTAGCAATGCAGTGGGAGTCACCGACTCAGGAAGGAGACACGGTGAGAGTTGGAGCTTTGATGTCAAACACTGATGGGTTTATTCAGAGTATCGGCCGGAGGATTCACATCACAAGTCAAAGAGTCAGAGGGTCTGACTTCACGGGAGAGTTGCCACGTCAATTCTGAAGAAGCCTCTCTCTATGTTAGACCTTTTAACTGGCTCACAGAGAGTAATCAACATCTCTGAAGGAGTTGACTAAACAGCTGGGAACACTGAATCACTTGCGTCCGACACTTATGGCCTCAAAGATTTCACATCTTAGAGTCCACAAACACCGATAAAGAAGTGCCTCAGCGTTCTCACAACAATTACCCTTCGTGCCAGACAAGTTGACCGGTCACAAACTGGTAACAACAACACATATGGCACCAATGCCTTTCCTTAAAGGAGATAACAGACGTCAGAGTAGATCATAAAACGTCACAGAGCAAAAGGTTAGATATCTAGAATAATTATTCCTTAACAGTACCCCTATTTTTAAAAGATTTGGGTACGGAGGAAAAGAGAGAGGGTTTTATTTTCTGACGCTGCGTGAGTTCCCCGACACACCGGGGACACATATTTATGTATAAAAGACATCACTAAGTGCATTTTGCATGATAGGTCCCCTTTAAACAGCCTTAAAATACAAAATACTTACCCTTAAATCTTCTTTTAACCTCCAAAATAGTTATTTATTTGTACGCCCTGGAAGTTCTCCACCATCACTATGTGACGGACACATTAGCGAAATAAAGTGAGGAGCATAATGAAGAAGTATTGCCTGATCCAATATAAAGTGCACTGCTCCTGCATATGATTAGATATCACCATCTAATCATATCATATACTAACATCTAATATGTAAATGAAGCCCCCGCACACTTCGCCTCTCTCAGCTATAATCAGATTCTTTGTTTTTTCTCCTGAGATATTTAATCATTATGCCTCAAAGTGTGCAATAGTTCTCCCCGCATTATTCCACCCACTGCTTCGTCATATTTTTAGCCCTTTCCACAGTTGATTTGGCTCACCTCAAGGTAACTGCATTTCAAAAGGCCTCTCTGCCAACTGCTGGTAACTGTGTTAATATCAATATTCTCTGCTCATTATCACTTTATTCCCTGGCTGGGTCACAATTAAAATACAATGCCGCCATTTAAAGCATTTGAAGAACAGAGGCTTGACTTAAAGGTCCCCTATTATAGTGTTTTTCATCAATATATTATAGGTCTCAGATATATACAAACATGTCTCTGAAGTGTTTGGCTCCAAACACCAAACAGATCATTGCAGCATCCCATCATCCCCTCTGTTTCAGCCCTGTTTCCAAAGTGCTGATTCTCTGTCTGTTACTTTATATGAAAATAAGGAGCCCCTCCCCACGCCCCTCTGAGAGAGATTTGGTTACAAAGAACACAATGGTGCTCTAGGAGGAGATTCAGGTGATAAGGTGGGGGGGGGGTTACCTTGGTTGCTGATTGGCTAATGGTTACACAAGCCAAAAAAATCGTTATGACATCATAAAGTGGCCAAAATCTGATCAGCTCATTTTCAGACAGGTTTTTATATAAATGGATCAGGACAAAAAGAGAGAGAATCTTTGTTCCTGAAACTTTCAGAGTCTCTTTCCACAGAGGGGACACATGTTGATGTAGAAGAGACATGAAGAAGAGGGGACACATGTTGATGTAGAAGAGACGTGAAGAAGAGGGGACACATGTTGATGTAGAAGAGACATGAAGAAGAGGGGACACATGTTGATGTAGAAGAGACATGAAGAAGAGGGGACACATGTTGATGTAGAAGAGACATGAGGAAGAGGGGACACATGTTGATGTAGAAGAGACATGAGGAAGAGGGGACACATGTTGATGTAGAAGAGACATGAAGAAGAGGGGACACATGTTGATGTAGAAGAGACATGAAAAAGTGGATTTTGCACAATAGGTGACCTTTTAAGAACAGAAGCTCAACTTGAACAATGACTTTGCAGTTAAGGAACTCAAATGGACATAGATATTTGTTTTTTTGGACCCAGTTTAGATATGATTCACAAGCTATTTAACTGGGATGGTTTTGGGATGTGATGTTGCCGATCCTGCTTCAGACTCAGAGACTTTTCGTGTCTAACATGACATTGTTTCTCTGATTTAAACTTTAGTGAACCCCCTATAACCTGCTGTTCCTCCACAGGAGCGAGTGCTTGGTGTCCACATCCTGGGCCCGAACGCTGGAGACATCCTCCAAGGCTTCGTCGCAGCGATGAAATGTGGACTCACCAAAGAACAGCTGGACGCCACAGTGGGCCTCCAACCCGGGTCCGCCCAGGTCAGAATCCTTCATCATCTGCATCCTTCTTCCACACTTTTGCATAAAAACAGCTGCACTATGACGGCTATTAAAGGGATATTAAGGTACTTTTTCATAGTTGGTGTACAGTAGATAGGAGTCAAAAAATGTATTTTAGCCACCTGAAAATGCAGTTGAAGTGTATGCAATATTTACATCCTTTTTGACCACTTTTGCTTGCCATAAGATGACTCTTTTCAACATGGAACTGTAGTCGTTATCTATGATCTTGCTAAGGCAATATCATTTAAAAAAACATACATTTTCCCTCACAGTAAGGAGGAATTGCTGGTATACAGTACCTCCACCAGTTACACATATTAAATAACCAATAGATGATATGGTAGACCAGCAACTTTTGTGTCATGTGAGTTACATTTCTTATCATTTCAATGGACTCTGGTTGCTTTGGGGAAAGTTAGAAAGAGTCTCAAAGAAAAGTAAGGCATTGAAAGGTCGTTCTGAATATGATACTGATTATTTTAGCCTTTGGTTAAGTGGCTAGTATACGTTTTCCTACAACCCGCGTCTACAAAAGTACATTTATTTACTTCTCTGCCTTTACTCCTGTCTACGTTTTGAACCCAACCAACCTCCATCAACTTAATCCAATCACTGACTATGAAAAATACCCCACTTCTAACAATCTGAACCATCCCTTTAAGGCACAGTATGGCGACCTGCTGCTTTTGACAACAATACATTTCCCCCCCAGCAGCATTAATTCCATGTCACCTCCTGTATGTCCAGTCTCGCTCTGTTTATACTGTGCTGAGACGTCCGTTTTGAGATATTACCATGTGTAGCCCTTGGAAAAAGCTTGAGTGTCTGGGGTCAATGCCAGAGCAGCAGATTCAAATGAGTTTCCTGCTCTGAATGCTGCTCGTCTGAATTATTCATAGCAATATTTAATAAACCTCTCCGTGGAGACTGACCTCGCAGTACATGAGCGGGTTAATACTCAACACTTTCTAAACTTAATTAATAAGGCTTTGAATCGGGTGTTAAATAGAGGTCCTGGCAATGTCAGCTAAGAAAGGGTTTTGAGATGCAGTTTAATGGCTCATCATAGATCCTGTTATTGATGCTCTGAGGGAAGCTGTAATCAACCTTTAATGACTGCATGATTTAAATCACTTAAAGGACACATTACTATACTCATTTTCAGGTTTATATCAGTATGTAGTGTCTCTACTTTAAAGAGTCCTCTCCTGCTGATGTTCAGGTGTATATCAGTATGTAGTGTCTCTACTTTAAAGAGTCCTCTCCTGCTGATGTTCAGGTGTATATCAGTATGTAGTGTCTCTACTTTAAAGAGTCCTCTCCTGCTGATGTTCAGGTGTATATCGGTATGTAGTGTCTCTACTTTAAAGAGTCCTCTCCTGTTGATGTTCAGGTGTATATCAGTATGTAGTGTCTCTACTTTAAAGAGTCCTCTCCTGCTGATGTTCAGGTGTATATCAGTATTTAGTGTCTCTACTTTAAAGAGTCCTCTCCTGCTGATGTTCAGGTGTATATCAGTATGTAGTGTCTCTACTTTAAAGAGTCCTCTCCTGCTGATGTTCAGGTGTATACCAGTATGTAGTGTCTCTACTTTAAAGAGTCCTCTCCTGCTGATGTTCAGGTGTATATCAGTATGTAGTGTCTCTACTTTAAAGAGTCCTCTCCTGCTGATGTTCAGGTGTATATCAGTATGTAGTGTCTCTACTTTAAAGAGTCCTCTCCTGCTGATGTTCAGGTGCATATCAGTATGTAGTGTCTCTACTTTAAAGAGTCCTCTCCTGCTGATGTTCAGGTGTATATCAGTATGTAGTGTCTCTACTTTAAAGAGTCCTCTCCTGCTGGGGTTCAGGTGTATATCAGTATGTAGTGTCTCTACTTTAAAGAGTCCTCTCCTGCTTATGTTCAGGTGTATATCAGTATGTAGTGTCTCTACTTTAAAGAGTCCTCTCCTGCTGATGTTCAGGTGGATATCAGTATGTAGTGTCTCTACTTTAAAGAGTCCTCTCCTGCTGATGTTCAGGTGTATATCAGTATGTAGTGTCTCTACTTTAAAGAGTCCTCTCCTGCTGATGTTCAGGTGTATATCAGTATGTAGTGTCTCTACTTTAAAGAGTCCTCTCCTGTTGATGTTCAGGTGTATATCAGTATGTAGTGTCTCTACTTTAAAGAGTCCTCTCCTGTTGATGTTCAGGTGTATATCAGTATGTAGTGTCTCTACATGTCTCCATGCTTTAATGTTCAAAAAGCTCTTTATTTCTCTCATACTGTCTGTGCTGCAGCACCTCTTTTCACCCTCTGTCTGAAACCAGAGCCCAGTCTGCTCTGATTGGTTAGCTGGCCGGCTCTGTTGTGATTGGTCAACCTGCTTAGAGATGTCCCGCCCCTTAGCCTATCACGTAATGTGTAGCGCTAGCCAATAGGAGCACGACTGTTACAGAGTGACGTCACTAGAAGTAAACACAGGAGTTCAATGGAGACGTTTCAGGCAGAGGGTGAGTTTGTGGCAGAGACACCAGGATTGTAGTCTTTGCAGACCATTTACATGCACAAAAACCTGTATTTAACACGCTACAGGAATAGGAAAAATTCAAAAATCGTAATAGGGCCTCTTTAAACTTGTCTGTGAGTATCATATATTCATCCTAATACGACATAAGGCAGTTTGTACTCCAGATCTGAAAGTCAATATGTCATGATTTAGTCTCAGATGTCCAACTTTCACACGTTACTGAATAATACATGTGTTTATACTTGTATATACTGTATTTTCTCCCATTCTCACACACTGATACGGTCTCTCTTTGTTGCCCAGGTGTTCAGCTCATTGACGGAAACCCAGCGCATGACTGAGGCCTTGATGATGAGAGGAAACTGCTGAGGTTAGCCCCCTGCTGTCAAGCACAGTTGCCTATAGCAACAGTGTAAGACAGCAGGGAGGTATTTAACGTGTTTTAGCGGCAGTTTGGCTATCTCACCATCCAATGACGTCCTCACCTGCATCCTGTCCTGCAGGCGGGCGAGGACTGATGACACTGCGCCTGACACACGTCTCGTTTTCTGCTTTTCGGTTTGTTTACACTTTTTCTCAATCAATGGCTTTGTGCGTAGCTTTGAAATACGGAGTACAGAACCATTGATTCGCTTAAAATGTACGGAAGATAAGAAGCTCCCCAAGGTTCTGCCTGAAAGTCTCTGTAAGCTTTACTATAGCTGAGTTTCTACAGGCTGCAGGAGAGTGATAAGGCTCCAGGACTGGATGCATTTAAATGGAGTTAAAGCTCAGGATTATACTCTTTCCATGACGCGGTTTTACAGCCTTATTTTCATGTAATGAACTAGAAGGGGATTATGGAATTACCCAAATAAATAGTGTTTATTGGCGAATGCTCTCACTTTAATGTATGCATACAGTGTTTTTATTGAGACAGTAGGCCAGCGTTTGTGAGTTTGTGATTCGCTCTATTGTTTGCTTTCCCTCTTTTATATTCTCTCTCTGCCTCTGAGCACAGTGACGCTCTTAAAACAACAGTTACATATTCATGCAGGGCATTAAACTAAGTGTCTCGTACAAACTAATGCGGGACTGGAGTGCGGATATTTAATAAAAGCATGTCGCTGAAGTTCCCCCACCTCCTCAGCTCCACACTCTGCATACCACTTTGGTTCGTGCAAGGACGTCATTTGTATTCTTTGTGTGTTGCAGCCCATTCAATCCCATGTCAATGCCTGTTTTGAACGTGCATTATACTGTTGCTTGCTTAACATTGTTGCCATTAAATGCACATTTTCTTTAGAGGTTCTCCTCCAGACCACCTTCTGATTCTCTGACCTGCTTGTAAGACGGATATCCTAATTACAGAAAGTGCAGTATCTCTCAGCGTGTGCCATTGAAACAGCCATTAATGCATAATTTGATGACTGTGTAAGGTTAAGAAGCTGCTTGGAGGTCTCGCGATCAATCACTGCCTTGCTCTTGGACAGAGTTCACCTGAGTGTCCTGTAGCACCACTAGATGGCACTGTAGCTGTATGTGGAATATAAGAGAGCAATGTGGAAAATAAATAAAAATAACGCTGATGCAGCAATGTGTGGGTTAATGAAACACATTACAGTCGAATTGATTCTGCTAATGCAACTACTGTAATACTGCTACCATGATTACTAATGATATTATTACTTTATGTGAGCGCTAGCAATAAAACTCCTTCTGCAGCTGCTGCTATGAGGGTAATCACTGAAACTGCACTCATGCTATTTGTGCTGCAATTGGTGTTGCTATCAATATCAGTTGAACTTGTACTACCCCAATATTTTAATACTTTTTATTTATCGGCTTATTTCATTAAACAAATGCCCTTTGTTCTGAATAGAAACTCATATTTTTAAAACCAAATCACAACAAAGACACAAAGAAAAAACTGAAATACAAAATGAAAAGCAGTAGTAATCATTACAATGATTAAAGCTGATAGCAAAGCAATGGCTCTTTTATCGTAGGTCGAACCAAATAGAGGGATGATAATAATAATCTTTATTTGTATAGCACCTTTCATACAAGACTTGCAGTTCAAAGTGCTTCACAGTAGACATCTCTTGAAAAACTCACAGAAAATTGATATGCAGTAACCAGTAAAAGACATCAAAACTAGCATAGGATAGACGTATAAACAATACATTTAGATTAAAGGTACAATGTTAAAATTGTGCATTAAAAGGAGGATAGTGCAAATACAACACAACATGAGGTGACAGGTTAAAATGCATTGAGAAAGTGAGAAAGTAATAATAAGGATGTTTGGATTTGGTCTTGATTGCCTTATTATATTCAATATTTTGAATAGTGGTGCCATATTTTGTCAATTCCAAGTAAAAATGTGCAATATCTGGTTTGGAGTCAGACCATTTCTTCCTGTGAATATAACATTTTCCCCAAAACAAAACTAGGTTTATAAAAAAAACAATACTTCCATCAAATCCATCACCTTTTTAAATCTTATAATAATGTCCTCATCCTGAAGTTGTATCGTTCATTCCGTTTTTCTTTAAAAAAAATACTCATTTTAGAGAACAACAGGTTTCATTGTGACGCTCTTGAAAAGTAGCGCACATCTGGACGCGCCCATTCCCTCACAAAGTAGGGGGGTGTGCGTCACCGTCACGTTGCCCCTGCTACTCCTCCCCCCCTCCAGCAGTTCAGAAGTGGTACGCTCCGTGTTGGATGCGTTCAGCTCATTGACCGGCGTACAGTCAGTGCCACCAAAACCCCGGAGCAAACAACAACACACACCGGCCCTTCAACCCTTCAAACCCCCCCTACGGAGCGAGCAGCACCCCCCCGACATGAAACAGCCTCTGAGCGAGCTGATGAGGATGAGCAGGATATGCCGGATGGTATTTGCCACTTGTTTGGGATCCTTTATTCTGGTCATCTTTTATTTCCAAAGTATGTTCCAACCAGGTAGGATCTCCCTCTATCTTCTCTCTCTGCTGTGTGTATGTGTGTGTGGAGCAATGTGTGTGTGTTTGATTCATGGCATCCTGTGTGTTGACATATCGATTTGTTTAGGCGGTGCAGTAACACAGCAGATACATAATTGATGCGTGTGTGCGTAAATCATCCAGCTGGATAGAGTGTGTTGTTCTTGTTGCGCTTTTGTCTGTTTTTTGTTGAGCGTTTCTCGCTTGGTTTCTTGCTGTAAGTGTGTGTTTCCGATTGGATTTGAGCAACCAGCCGCTTCCCCTCAGCTGACAAGTGGCATGGAGGCTTTTTGTCTCCGGAAAACGTGGCTTGGCATCGCGAGTCAGTGCATGGGCGGGCAGTGCATGGGGTTTTAAGCAAAGTGGGCATTTGCAAAAGCTGACACATTTGATCCACCTAAAGATTGGTACCATCTGGACCCCGAAAATCAATTTGGAGATTAAAACCGATGTCCTCTCAGATCTGTGCGCCCCTGGAGACCTGATTAACAATTTATCACACAATAAAAGAAACTGCAATTATGTTAAATTAGGATTATCCATGTGGTGCTTTGTTCAATCCTGCATCTACGCCCCGGCATGTGATATCTGTGTGTTGTATAGGAGCCAATCAGTGCGCCAACATCACATAACTGAGCCATACAGTGCTGCTGACCTGTACAGTACAACAGGTCTACTGTACGGGGCAAAATAAAGACCATCTTTCTGGGTATTTTCTTTCCATAATCAGAAACTCAATCCCAAAAATAATCCCATAATGCTGCTGTTGGAGACGGAGAGTCTATAAGGCTTTGTTGCTCATTTTGAAATAGCCACTCTGCATCATGAAATGTGATATTTCTTACATTTTGATACCTTAGGTTGCATCTATAATTGATGCTTTAGTGTCAGTCTATAGGTGGTGATGTGAAGGGATTTTGCACACACACACACACACACTCACACCATAGCCACACGGCTGTCACATCTCTGATCAGGTGTTTCTCTGTGTGAGTCACCATTGCTGCAGCTGGCAGACTCTTCATTTTTCTAATCCCCTAAAAGAAAATCCCCATGATGCTCCAGGGAACCTCAGACCACGCTGTGATAACTTTGTTTGATCCTGAATCAATCAGCACCCTTATGAAGCCATAGCAACACATTCGCTACTGTTGATATTGGCTTTAAAATCCACACGTTTCCATTCAATTGTATTCTGATTATACCAACAGCCAAGATGTAGGAAAGAGTTGAAGTATCAGAAAGTGTGTTTCCTTATGTTGAAGTTTTGAGATAAAGCACTGGTTAAACTGATAAATTGGCTTTTTTTTCTATTGTTCTGATCATAATACCGTGCAAAATGTAGGAAAGTATTTCAGATTTGAAGCATTTAACCATTCATTTGCTAAATAACACTAACAATAATCCAAAAAATATTAACCGATTATTAAAAATCCACATTAGTTACAGCCTTTCGAGTACGTTTGTGTTGAAAGAGGGCCCGGGTTAATGGGTCAATTCACCCCAATGAATAATAGTGTGTTTTTCTTCTGCTGAGGTTTTGAGATGTCTTATTTAAAACCAAGAAATACATTTTAAATATCCCAAAAACACATTTAAACCAAGTTATCATGTAGTGACTTCTCTCTGACAAACAGATGAGCACAATGTTGTTGTTGGTATAATTATCCAGGAGGGAAAAACATGTTGTTTTCTTATCCTTTTGAACAAATTTAGCACAAATTGAGACCTCATCTCAACTGCGTGTTATTAAAACGGCTTCCAGGCAAGGAGTTTCTACAAAAAAAATGAACCAAGACTTTTTTAACCCCGTGACAAGAAGCTCTGGATGCTGCTCCGAGATTTGTGCCAATCTCCGCAGGCATTGCATCAGCCCAACACACACACACAACTATATACACACACACACACACACACACACACACACACACGCACGGGTCACAAAGTGGATGTTTTGTTCTGCTGTGGGGATGACAGGGTGCTGATCCAGGGTTTCCTGATTGAAGAGGAGATGGCTAAAGCAGGGTGTGTGTGAATATAAGTTGTAATGTGTGTGTATTTATACATGATTACACAGGTGAGACGGACACGTTGACTTTAATGAAATGTATTATGTCAACAAACTGTATTGGGTTAGTTGAAAGCTATACTGTTAAGTTGAACCTAATGTGTTTTATCTAAATGTAATATTCAAACTAACATAATACAATTATGTGTAATTTGTTGACATAATGCATATCATTTAAAGCCAACGTGTGTGTGTGTGTGTTCTTGACTTCCTTCACAACTCTCCTTCTAATCTACTAGACAACGGCCTATTGTTTGTACTATATTGCTTGTATTATTTTATTCTTGTTTTTACCTTTTTCTTTTGTATTTGTACTTATTTTTGGGTTTGTGAGCTGAGCTGTGTGATTTCTTTTTTTTATGGGGGGATTTTATTCATTTACTTACTTCTCTGTACAGCACTTTGGCCTGGAGGTTTTAAAGTGCTTTACAAATAAATCTGTATCGTATCTCTACCTCAAACTTAATATTATTGCTTTCAACTAACCCTAAAACCGTCTTGTGAAATGTGTTGACATAATAAATCTAATTAAAGTCAACATTTCAGTTTTTTCAGTTTAGTGTATCTCTACCTCGATCTGTTTACATTCTCTATGCCCTCTTAGCAAATCCCCTATCTTCATATTCACACACACACACACACACACACACACACACACACACACACACACACACACACACACACACACACACACACACACACACACACACAGTCACACACACACCCACGCCTTGCTTCAGGCATGTTTAGCAGGCCTGGGATTTCTGTCTGGCCTCCCAGTGTAAACTCTCACTTCTCCCCAAAGACCCACGGGGTCGTGACCTCTTGTAAAGGAGACAGAACGGCACAGTCCTATCACACTGTTGTCTTAACTGACACACAGCAAGCAAGGCTGAAAATACTCGCAGTGTGTCCCTAAATAAATAAAGAAGGTTGCGACGAGTTACCATTTTTGACTTCTTCTTCTCTGCATCGCTGTGACTCTGAGACCTGAGAGACGTCAGCCTGCAGCAGTTTGAGAGGACGCCAACTTAGATGTGGTTTACAGTCGCCTGCCAGCCTCAAAGCAGACAGAAAGCAGAACGGCAGCAGGGAAACTTTATTCAAGACAAATCTCATGCTCAGAATATGCCAACTTTTTGTTAATTAGTGCCGTTGGTTCTGCTGGTGTGGTGGCATTTACAGTAAGAACATTTGATTTATTTTCAAGTTCTTACCTTCTGGTCAAATTGAGTTTTAATTATCTATTGGTTGTATTTAATCTTAGTCATTATTTGCTGCCTAATAAATACTAGTTTTCAGGAAAATTACCTAACTCTGTGTTGTGGTATTGTAAAGTCAGATGTAAAAAAAACTAGACAAATTAAACCAAAGCGATCTTCATGAACAGATGTTACCAGATGTAGGTGAACTGATGCTTAAATATGCATAGAATTGTCCACTAGAGACTGGTGATTTTAGGCCAAACTGCTCATCACTAGTGGGCAAAATCCCCAAAAGTTGGTGGAGACCTTTAAAGACTTGACTTGTTATACTTGAAATGAAATACCCAGCGTTTGCATGAGGTGAAAATCTAGTCAAAACGACTGCTTGTGTCTTAGAAGCTATAAGAAAACCACTTAGAAATACAGTTAGAAGCAGGATCTCAAACAGCCTGGTGCTGAAACATTTGTCCCCCTCACCAAATGGAGGTG